TTTTATTACAATTTTTTTCGATTTATTGAAGTAAAAGTTAGACACACAAGATAGAAATGTAATTTCATGGTCTTATTCAGGAATATAATATACCAAAATAAAAATAATAAAAGTTTTTGTATCTTACATTTTAAAACATATATATAATACTATTATTTAAAATTTTATTGTGGATTTATTGTCTGTTTTCACAAGTAGAGTTTTACTTTGATAAAATGACTTCTTTTAAGTATAGTTCATTTATTAATGAATGTAATGAAATTATTGAAATATACATATTACAGATTTAAGTATGTACATTGTATGTAAAATTAAGTATATATGTATACTTACATTAATTTTATGAAGACATGGAAAAATTGTTAGTATGAAAGTTATAGTAAATTCTCCCTAATTGTCCCTCAGCTTGGAAACAAAAATATTTATATTTATATAACAAAAATGAACAATTTGGGAAGAGGAGATATGATTATTCGAGCCTTACTGCTCGTTTTCATAGTCACCGATTATCAGCAACTATAAAAACGAGCCGCAAGGCTCGAATAATTGTATCTCCTCTTTCCAAATTGTCAATTTTTGTGTACAAGCTGCGGGCCAATTAGGGAGAATTTACTGTACTTGGTAAAATACAGTACATTTTGCAGCATACGTCGACCATTATAACTTTTGATATATAAACAATTTGAAAATCCTTAAACACACGTTATTCAGTTTAATAAAAGCTAAATGAGTATTTTCTACCATATCTTGAAATCTTTTATTATGTTATCGTATAAAAAAAATTATTATTACACCACACAATTTTTTTTCTCCACATCAAGCATCTTTTGTACTAACATTTTTTTTCATATCAGCAATGGTTTATAAAATTTTTCAATGTCTTCAGTTAAATAGAATATGTTGCATATGTAATTGTTGATTTTCATTATTATAATAACAAAATATAATAATTCTGTCATGCAAAAAATATTTTAAATGAAATTATACATCAAGATGTCACGTTGTCTTCATTGGAAACATGGTAAGACCTAGAAAAACTAGAATGTTAAGAAGATATTTAAAGAATGTGGATTCCTAGTGGCAGTGTCTCAAGTCTTAATTCAAATGAATGTACGTAAAGTGTATCAAGGATTGTGTACCTAATTTCCTTAAATGATTGAATTTTATTTTCTTATACAAATATGGATAAAAGATAAGAATATAAAGATGTGAAACAAAATACAGGAGATCAAATATAAAATTCACCTCTAGTCGAGACAGACAAAATGTCTATAGTTTTCCCTACTGATTTCTATGATATTCATTAGTCATCAACAATTTATAATTACTCTCGTATTCATTAGGACTTCATATAACGTAAATCATTTAACAAACAAAGAATGCTTGCAAACTGTAAAAGTGAGATTTTTACAATTTTGTAGAAGAGCCAAAAATACTAAACATTATTTCCTATACACGTACTTCAACAAACATTAATTCAAAAACAATTACAAAATGGTAAAAAAGTCTTTCCAGTTATATTATGTTCCTAATTGTAAATACAATATTTAATCATTAACAATGTATGAAGTACAAATACAGTAGATACATT